AATTACCAAACAAATTCCCGTATTTCAATTGCAAGGTATGATAATAAAGACTACCGCCGCGCCGCACCGCCGCGCACACAGCGTGCGGTCTGAGCTAATAACAGCTCAGATCGTTGTCAACGTGTTAGTCACTCGATAACGCAAAATCTTGGAATTTCAGAAATGCGTTTGATTTTTGAGAACGGCTTCTGAATGTGCTGCAGCTACCAAATAGAAAAATGGGTTTCGCACTCGGCGCGCATTCTTTACTGCTATATGTGGGTGAACTTTCGCGACACACTGCGCTATATGCAAAATAATGGTTACTTGCAAAACCCAGTCTTCTTTTAGCCACTATAGCGCACTAAGATTTTTTCAAAAACTTAATTCAACTCTGGAATAGTTGAGATATGAGCTATCAAATGATTACTGCAAGTCTGAGATGAAAGATTTGTTCAACCGAAAATGATTAAGTGTGAAATGATATTTCATTTTTACTGTTACAGTGTAACACAAAAGTCATTTAAAAAATAAAATATACCGTACAAATTCTCGAGATTTGACCCAAAATGTCTAGAGAGTCGAAAAATACGTATTTTTGAATAGGAGTGCGTATAGGGGAAAAGTACTCGTTTTTGTAGAACATGTTCGCACTGGGTACCGTATTTATGGTGGCGCGCTATCGTAACATGCGTCACCGCGTTAATCAAGAGAACTTACGCGTTCTGCAGCTATGTTAGTTTCAGGAATTGGTTTACTATGGCTATTCTGTATGCATCAATCATGGAGTCGCTATTCGTCAGCAGCCGTTCATCCCACGGAAAAACTCGCTTTCATTCTGTCACACGATGGTCCAGGAATCACAGTCGCTGCCATCGTCATTGTTGCCACCACTTGTGAGCGTGAACTTCTTGGTTTTATTTTTAGAGAAAATCTCTCTTGATTTTATTTTTCCTTTCTTGATTGATGTACTTTCATTTTGATCCATTTTGTTTTGTGTTATGTTCATACTCGTATGCACAAGCATTTATTTAGTTCTAACGTATAGATGAAGCGTCAAACTTTCAGGAGAAGAGAATTTTAAGGAATTCGCAGTTGCAAAAAGTAGTCTTGTTAATATTATTATAACGAGAATTTCATTCACGTGCTTCTGCGGGTTTTTCAACAACTTTCTCTCAGCTTACCCAATCCTATCCAACGATGCAACAACTAACCTTCTTTGTTCACAAAGAAAATGCGTTCCATAAAGTGGAAATTTCACGTGTTGCCACAGTACCACTGTGTCAAAATTATGATACAGCAGTCTTTGCAATCATAGAAACTAGCCTGTTGTGATTATTCACGAAATTTCATCTTGCTTATCCCTTCTGTAGTAGGGATCTTCCTCGTTAGTGATTTTTCTCTTCCTCGAAAGTTTTATTGATATACACGCAGTTTCATTTGTTGCAAACCTTTGAGCAATAATTTCATGATTTTAGAATAAGTACCACTGTGTCAAAATGATTGGCGAAGCATACTCGAGTAATTCGCGAAGCGCAGAAAAATAGGGGCACTGCACGAGATCAAGTTGTGGGTCGTGCAAGGATAGCCTAGTATATGCCGTGCACAGACAGAATCTATCATAGCCACTTTCTAATAAACATAATTATCAGTAGAATATTTGGACATTACATAGTCATAGAGGAGATTTTCCGTCATAGAGGAATCGATTTCATTCTGAAATTTGGGTAATCACTGTTGTTTTTTGAAAATTGTAAGCGAGGGACCGGGATTCGACCAAAAATGACAAGTAGGGATAGTTTTCTCATCTGGTGCATGGATTTGTTCTATGAAAACTGAATGTAACAGTGTCTCTGGCTGAGATTGAAAGTTATTATGAGCCTTCTCCAGCTTCTTAAAGAATAACATTTGACTCCAGAATATTGTGAATCCCAAGACTGCCTATCTATTAACCTCGGCATAGTTTGAATAAATAAATATTCTCTTCTGTTTAGCCTCTCCGAGGTGATAATGATATTATTTATTGAATATTAGCGAAGCATACAACATTACAGTCAGTAATGCATTTAGTCAGTAGTGCATTATTGACTGTATTGTTGTATGCTTCGCTAATATCCAATAAATAATATCGATAACACCTCGGAGCGGCTAAACAGAAGAAAATATTCATAACTTGTGAATATCTCTCTTTGCTGTGCTGTGGTCAAACTGCATATCTCTCAATATACGAGAATTCTATATTCATTTAGCACTTATGGCTTTTTGTTCAGTATATGCTAATTATGATAAAGTTAGAAAGGCGCGGGAAGCTTCACGTCAGAGAAATTCTCACTTTTCGTGACATCATTTTTCAAAGAGAATCAATTTGCTGTTTTCTATAGAATTAGATTCTCTATTGGCTTGTTCTCACGTCACATAGATTACATAGATCTCTTCTTTCGTTTATTTTGCTTTCATAAAACTGCCATGTATGAGAGTAGATTATATTATTATGCACAATAGAAAGCAACTTGAAGACTGACGTTTTATCCATTTACCGACGTTTCAATTCTGAGCAAACGTAGTGTTCCTTGGTGTCACGAGATACACATGCTAAAGCGCTCTCATGTCTTTAACATAGAGAGTAATTTTCAATAGATCTATGAGGTCTGCTATCCTGCGATTACGACTCTTTAGGATGTCCCCACTTCTCCCGTCTACTCATTGTAAAGTCTAATGTTATTTTTATCATGCTCTACAACCTTCGCTTAAATGCTTCCCATTGTGCACTAAAAATCAGAGTAGAAAACCTTTATGTAATTGATACGCTAACAGAGATCGTCGTCGATTGGTATGAAGAGGGTACTTGAGAACCAGAAGTGACTTTAAAAAGCTAACATTGCTAGGGAGTAATTAGTTAGCATTCATAAGTAGAAGAGTTGTGATGCTCATAACAATGACTAGGTAGTACAAAAGCAACGTCAAGAACTGCACATGCAGATCAAGAGTTCAGTTATCAGTTCTCTTAAATGTGAAGAGCGAGTAGGAGAGGAACGACATAGTCCCATGAGTCAGAGTTGATCATTCCAGATCACATAGCACAAGGTTGATAATCGGCTAGCGTCTCGGCGTTTTCATTTTCTTTAGGGCCGAGTCGATAGCAAATAGGCCGATCTCGCAAAATTCTAGAAGAATATTTATAATTTTTGTGTGCAATCAACTTGAACCATGGGCTCTAAAGAAGACGAAACTACTGAACTTGTTTTTTATCAACTTCGTGTTACAGATTCTATCAACAAGCAAATTAGTCATTATTGTTGCCGAGGTCTAGCAAAAGTTGGTTTCTAAAGATAGATGGTTATTCCAAAACACCGTTCTAAGTGAATAGGTGTTGCCGTAGGATGTGATCGTATCCACGACACAACAGTTATAAAGCTTATTCCAAACACCGCGATAAAACGATAACAACCTGTTTTTGAAGGACGCTTCTTAGTGTACCTTGAGATTAGTTTTTCTAGTTTCCTAAGTAATTTTTCTATCTCGGAACTGTTTGGCTTCATGCAGCCATAGGTAGCCGTTCTTTTCATGTGCTAACAGAAAAACTTGTCGACTCCACTTTCTGAATTATGGAAGGTATCACCTATATCCTTACTATCCAAACTGCACTGCCCTTTGCTTGTTCGAAGCTCAAAATGACACGTTAGCGTTGCTAGTTTATCATCCAAGCGTTTGCAAGGAAAGCGGAAGTTTTTTCATTCATTAGTTTGTAGAGGAAATTGCTAACGACAGAAACTGCCTTACTTGAAAGATCAAAAGTGCTGCTTTTATTTGGCTTCCAGGATTATTTCTTCCGACCATCTACTGTGCTAACTTTTGTAATTTCGTCATGATTTCAGTCTCCTAAGCTTTTCAATCACATATCTTCATTATGATTATGAAATTCTCCTCATTACCGTCAAATATTATTCTGGCAGCCGCTGTTTAGATCCGCCGCTTATCGGTTTTGTCAATTTTTTTTATTTGATCCATTTCTTGACTTCATCATTTTCTAGTCGATTTTGAAAATTTGGAAGTCCTCTAAAGAACATGTTTCACTGACATATCGTAGGCAGAAGCTTCCTCATCCAATATTCTTTTATCTAAACCAATGTTTCATCATCGAAGGGGATATTGCAGGGGCTTAGTAAATCAGTTAATCAGAAAGTGATTTGATGAACGACACACTGACCCTTCCCAACTCTCTCTTGCAATCAGTTAGCTGAACGCCTAGGGAATGCCTAGGAGCTCGACCACCCCTTGAATTGCAACAAGAGTTGCCTTGATCAGGATTCTACGACATCCATTAAGATAGCGTAAGACCTAAGCAGCCTGAGCAACACGTGAATTATTCGAAGACCTTGTAGAGTATGAATGTGCGATTAAGTGCAAGATGAACTTTGTTCGGCACACTAAATTGTAATTCTCACATTTTATCATTTATTTGAACCGTATCACAGTTTTTATCTACTAAGCGAGTTCCAAAACTTATAGCATCCAATCTGTCTCTTCACGTTCCCCGCTGTTAAAGAATTTCCTTTCTTCGTGAACGTCGTGCAATAATGACTGAGTTTGCAATCTCGAGGGTCGCCAGGCTGGCACGTTTCGTGAGCGTTAGTTGTCAATCATCAGAGTGAGAGGGGTGAGGGAGGGAAGGAGAGGGAGGGGGAATTGGGAATAAGCCTCGCGTCGCGCCTCTCCAAGCATTACTAGCCACTTGGCCACCGTATCACGGTTCACGAAAAATAAAACCATGACATGAAGAATGGATATTTTATTTTTCTTTTGCTATTTTATCTTTATGCAGTGTTTCGGAAATCGCCCTCAGTTGCCCGTCAAACTCCTGACAATTCACAATTCCTTGTGGAGCTATAGTACAGTGGTAGGATTTAGAACAAAAAAACATCGGTTGATTGCCGACCAATCACTGACGAGTAAAAATAGTTCAAAATTCTTTCCGGGAGCGCGTGCTGAACCGTTGCACTATTGGGTAGTGTGCAAAGCGGGCGCTGGTAGTGCAGCGGTAGAGTAGCGCTCTCGGAAAGAGTGAGATCTGGGTTCAAGTCCTAGCTGACGCAAGTGTTTTTGCACACCACTCTACACTACTGAATATATTGCAACATCATAACACCATAAATAAAATGAGTTCTGACTGATTCAGAATTACTTTTACCTTCTTTACCTGGAAGACAAAGGCCGATCATGTTGATGTTCAGTGCTGGCGGCTGTCGTGACACCGTTGCGCTACATGCAGTCGACGATGTTGATGATGGCGGTAGCTGTGACCATAATCTTCATTTTCCTTATCACGTAAGTTTTCCCGTTTAGCGACGACGACCACGTACATATATAAAAGAAGACCTCAAAGAGAGACGGGCACCAGTTATGGCAAAAACTGTAGAAGCTGAGAAGAGCATTCGCAAAGCCCACCGGAGCTTCGTTACAAGACTAAGATGATTGAACTCCGACGCCCTGACGGGACATTTACAGCTTCTATAAGGGCAATGGGGAAAATCATCCACCACTACTACTTGGATCTCTTTAGCATGTCCTCTTACCGTTATGAAATGAAAGAGTATTGATTAGTCGTTCCACTGTTTTTCCCTTTCAAAATCCCACACGCTCTTTCGTCCTTGAAAAGTCGTACAACACCTTATTCAAAGAGGATAAGACCGTAATACCTGAAAACAAACCTCCCACTAGCTCTCATTTACGTACTGACTCGGTCCTTCATTCATTACCTGTCAGATTGTGAAGTTCTCATTAATGGAACAAACAGCAAAATCGTGTTGGTGCTCAAAAGAAGTCACGGCATCGGCAACTGTCACCCAGTCTGCTTGCTGTCCGTCGTTTTTAACTCTTCACTTGAATCGTTCTAATACCCAATGATGTAGCCAGAAGTGGCCTCTTGGTACCTGTAGTCGGTTTTGATAAGAACAAAGTCGTAAGATCCTAAAATTCTATATTACAACGCACCCATTAATGATTCACTACCTCTCTCAGTAAAATATAGGGATGTTAAATGCCATGTGAACCACGAAAGTTTACCATTCGCCGAGGTCACTCGTAATTGATTTTTTTTGTGAGATTGAGGTGTCAAGAGATATCTCTAACCACGGTAAGAGGAACACTTGAATAAACTACGAAAACCATTGTCCATCAACAACACTGAGAAATACTAGAAGACACATACCTCTACTTCTGTGCAACAAAATCTAGCAACTGAACCAACAATTGCTTCCCATGTGTTCTAAGCATAGGTTTGGTGATGAATTTTACGGCATGCTTGAAGACGTCTAATTTTTAAAGTTTTGTTGCCGTGTTCATCTACATTGGTGGACGAAGGGAAGCAAAAGGAGTGAAATGGTATCAACTTTTTACGACAGGCGACACACACTTTACTGGTGAGAAGTCTAAATTATGGAAGGAATTTTTCTGTTAAAATCACGTAAATAAAAAAAAAAGCTTTTATATTGCAGAAAAGTCTTCCACTGGTATTTTGTCAATTCAGAATCTTTTAACGTTTATTTTTGCGATGTTTTTATATAGTACACGTCCATCTGTGGACTTGGGTATGACTAGAGTAACTCAAAAGGTCGCCACCTTTCTGGGGTAAACCCAGTTCTCAAAACGACAGACATGTGTCCATCTACGAGGTTCTTTGAGTTGCATGCCCGACTTTTCGATGCAGACATAAGTTCTGAGCGTTTGTAATTAAGAAAAACTTCCTTAATTATCAACGACTGGTTACATCGAGGAGTGCATCCGTTTCTGGCAACTCCTCTGGCCATAGGTTGGACTTGCACACCAGCCACACCATCTTAAGAGATGATGTCTGCAAGACATTTATGGTCATGGAAAAAGACTAGGAACTCTCTGGAGAAAAACCATGGGATGATATGGATTTCTGGAATCTCAAGAGTATAAAGACGGCGCCGTGGCCGAGCGGTTGTGATGCGCGTCACGACGTTCCAGAGACCGATCCCCACCCCTAACACTCTTCAGCAGTCAACAAAACGTTTTATGGAAGGTCATAGCCAGGCTATCCTGGAAATTGCAAGCAGACATGTTCAACCAGTACTTTACGACGTTCAAAAAGGAGACAAGAAAACGATTGAATGGTAAAAAAATACTGAGATCCACACAGTGAATAAAAAATACCGTGAAAACAGATCAAATAGTATGCTAAAAATGTGGATTTATGATACCGTGCTCCTTCAGTGATCGACGAAGTCGTCTTCTAACAGAAGGTGCATAGAAACAGTACATGCCAACAAAGGACGAAAACACCTGAAAATGTATTTTTCAATAAACAATAATAGTATTGATAGTAAATGGTAATAATGTTGTCCTCAAACTTTTGTCAAAGTAGTTGATAGAACTGACTTTTTTCTTGCAAAAGAGCACATTTTTGCAATGTTTGTCGAATAAACAACTGAGATTTGTTGATCCTAGAAAGATTTTTCAGCACCGAATCTTAGTGAGTTCGACTCGACGTCGTTGTTCTCCTTACACGATCGCCTCATCGACGCGCGACCGAGCGTCGTACGCGCTCTTGGCGATCGACTGATCGCGCGTAACGCTCGATATCCGGTCGTTGTCTTCTGCACTGTGGTGATGATCTTTGCCATCTGGGGTTGTATGAACATTAAGTAAGTGTTTACTAGTCGTGACCAACAGCAAGATGCTGTAAAAGTCCGTAAAAAAGGATAATTTGAGATCAAATGACACCACATGGTATTCAGCAGTTATTTAGAGTGGACTTGCGTGAGGAAAACTTCTTGCCATCCACATCGCCAGCTCGTTGTTTCCTTGAAGGATATCGAGAATTATTTGGAAAAACCACGCAGTTCCTCGAGGTTTGCAATACGAATCATAGTATTACTACCTCTCTATATTACAAGTTATCATTTGCAAAAACCTTCCAAGGAAAATAAATCTGAATAGGACGTTGAATTAACCCATTGGAAACAACAGAGACACGCCGCCACTCCCGCTTTCCCACGAACGGCGAGCAGCCCGTTGTGCCGAGTGGTTACTTATGCCGCGCGCTGTGAGGCGGGGCTGATGACGTGTTCTCTCGTACCCAGTAGGTTAATTACTCCTAATTAGGAAGAAGGAAAGAAAAGGTATGAAGGTGCCTGCAAAGAATTCACTCATCTAGGTAGTTATCGATGATGCGATAGAATACGACGTGGAAGAAATCCGTGACTCTATTCTTGAGCTATTGGATAGCGCTGTAGTATGTTTGTTCTGTTTTGTTAATATTGGTGTTATTTTTGGTCAACTTCACTGGCTTATTATGTCACTTACAAAGATATAGAATTCAGATCATAAATTCAAACGCTGGCACTGTTGTGATTGTTTTTCTTTCTCCTCGTTTTTCTCACTTTAAAAATTTTTTGTTTATAGAAACAGTTTTGTCTATCTCCGTGGTTTCCCTTGAAATTATTGCAAACGTTAACTCTATTCAATGGTTGATTACTGAACCCATTATTCACTGTCTTGATATCCTGAGTCCTCTTTTGCTCAGGATGGTTTTATTTCCACCAAATCGAAAACTCATTTTCTCACGTACCTACTAAGTTTATTGATCTCCCTTCGGTGTAGGATATCGTAAGATCATTCAACTGAAAAGCACTCAGTATCAGATTTGTGCCAATAATATTTGAGAATGCTGTGTTGGCCCACTTAATTTATCTATTTAGAGCGCTGGATATGCTTCCCGAGCCATAAGTTGGCTTTCCGAATTTGTTAAGTTTGAGAAGAATACAATCTATGATATTAATGAAGTGAGTCTGTTATAAAACTCATGCTAAGACATCTCTCACAATCCTTAACATCTTACAAAACATCAGTAGTTGCAAGTTATTAACTTGTTTCAACATTCGATACTGGACTGTTTGCACGGTTTTAGAACTTTCGAATCATAGGTGCAATCTGCAACAATTTAGATTTTGAATGTCTTTAGGACACCTTCGTACCGGTAGTGAATCTCGTGTTTCTCGAAACGGATCCCTACAAGCGATTCGCTTCAGACATCTCATTTGATCGGCATCAAACTCAAATCGTTCGATCAAGAATGTATCTCGAGCTCACATCAAAAGGTGTTAATGAACGGTACGCAGTATTTTCATGCAGTACTAATTGGCTGAAAACGGCTCAATACACGCTTTCTGTAGATAAAATCTTTCAAGCGTCTTTTTTTCTGCTTAAACTGTTATACTCGCTCATGGCTAACATCCTGTAGTTCTCCCTTTGCTGTCGCATGTTCGACAGTATCCATAAGGAAGACTCTTCCAGGGTGGCACTAGTTCAGTTGCTATTGACAAAGTCTCGCGAGTTTCGTCTTCCTGTTTCCATTCGAGCGCCCTTCACCATGTCACTCAAGCACGACATTTCGGTGAGGATCTTCATATTCATCGTTACTTTAGATTTTAATCCGTCGTAGGACTTATAGCTAATATTCTTTTGGTAGACTATTTATATCATCTATATTGAATTATTTCTAGTAAACTTAAAATAAAGTAAGAGGATTATTCCCACAAATATGTATTACTGCGATCACGCAGATAAGGATATCGATCAGCTTGAAAATAGATTACTAAATACTTTATGTGCCAAACTATCTTCCACGTTATCAAGCGAGGACAAGTTTTTATGGTCCATTGATGTTATCGGATTTCTTATCTAAAATGTCTTGATAGAAAAAAGATCTCTGCGGCTGTTTAAGAGAAAGGTTGATGTCATACTACGGTCTAATCTACTGTAGAGCTATTATAAGAGACCGCAATCGCAAAAAAGATTAGTTAAGTAGTATTTCGATATGAGATTTTCGACAACTACTGCTCAGATGTTGCGCGGGTATCTTACAAAAATATCAATACATTGTCTTCTTTCAGGTTCTATCAGCTAGTTTTCTTGTAGTTGGCGTCGCTTTGGTGTGCCTTTTTGTTTTTTCGCTCTTTCTTCTCGGTCAGCCGGCTCTTACGTTTATCCTCGTTTTCACTGCCGTAGCTGGTGAGTCAAGTTTACATTCCTTTGCTATATAAATGAATTATCCTAAGTTTTCCATGCT